TCACTTATTTTTATAAAGTTGCCATATAAAGTGGAGGAGTGGATCTCGAAAACTAGAGATGGTACCATCACCGTATTTTCACGGAAGTGGTAATTGACCCCAACTACCCCACTCCCAAAATTTCAGACCCCAGGACAGGGGACTTCGATTTCCCCGAGTCCGATGTTTATTCACTTAGTATTATATAGTAGCCATAAAAAGTGGAGGGGTGAATCTCGGAAACTAGAGATGGTACCATCACCATATTTTCATAGAAGTGGTAACCTACCCCTAGTACCCCACCCAAAATTTCAGACCCCAGGACAGGGGACTTCGATGTCCACGAGCCCGATGTTTATTCACTTAGTATTATATAGTAGCCATAAAGAGTGGAGGGGTGGATCTCGGAAACTAGAGATGGTACCATCACCATATTTTAACAGAAGTGGTAACTGATCCCTAGTACCCTACCCTAAAAATTTCAGACCCCGGGACAGGGGACTTCGATGTCCCCGAGCCCGATGTTTATTCATATAGTATTATATAGTAGGCTTAAAAACTGGAGTTCTATATCTCGGAAACTAGAGATGGTACCATCACCATTTTTTCATAGAAGTGGTAACTGACCACTAGTACCCTACCCTCAAAATTTCAGACCCCGGGACAGGGGACTTCGATGTCCCCGAGCCCGATGTTTATTCATATAGTATTATATAGTACGCTTAAAAACTGGAGTTCTATATCTCGGAAACTAGAGATGGTACCATCACCATTTTTTCATAGAAGTGGTAACTGACCACTAGTACCCTACCCTCAAAATTTCAGACCCCGGGACAGGGTACTTCGATGTCCCCGAGCCCGATGTTTATTCATATAGTATTATATAGTAGGCTTAAAAACTGGAGTTCTATATCTCGGAAACTAGAGATGGTCACATCACCATTTTCTTATAGAAGTGGTAACTGACCACTAGTACCCTACCCTCAAAATTTCAGACCCCGGGACAGGGGACTTCGATGTCCCCGAGCCCGATGTTTATTCATATAGTATTATATAGTAGGCCTAAAAACTGGAGTTCTATATCTCGGAAACTAGAGATGGTACCATCACCATTTTTTCATAGAAGTGGGAACTGACCACTAGTACCCTACCCTCAAAATTTCAGACCCCGGGACAGGGTACTTCGATGTCCCCGAGCCCGATGTTTATTCATATAGTATTATATAGTAGGCTTAAAAACTGGAGTTCTATATCTCGGAAACTAGAGATGGTACCATCACCATTTTTTCATAGAAGTGGGAACTGACCACTAGTACCCTACCCTCAAAATTTCAGACCCCGGGACAGGGGACTTCGATGTCCACGAGCCCGATGTTTATTCATATAGTATTATATAGTAGGCCTAAAAACTGGAGGGCTATATCTCGGAAACTAGAGATGGTACCATCACCATTTTATCATAGAAGTGGTAACTGACCACTAGTACCCTACCCTCAAAATTTCAGACCCCGGGACAGGGGACTTCGATGTCCACGAGCCCGATGTTTATTCATATAGTATTATATAGTAGGCTTAAAAACTGGAGTTCTATATCTCGGAAACTAGAGATGGTACCATCACCATTTTTTCATAGAAGTGGTAACTGACCACTAGTACCCTACCCTCAAAATTTCAGACCCCGGGACAGGGGACTTCGATGTCCCCGAGCCCGATGTTTATTCATATAGTATTATATAGTAGGCTTAAAAACTGGAGGGCTATATCTCGGAAACTAGAGATGGTACCATCACCATTTTTTCATAGAAGTGGTAACTGACCACTAGTACCCTACCCTCAAAATTTGAGACCCTGGGACAGGGGACTGCGATGTCCCCGAGCCCGATGTTTATTCATATAGTATTATATAGTAGGCCTAAAAACTGGAGGGCTATATCTCGGAAACTAGAGATGGTACCATCACCATTTTTTCATAGAAGTGGTAACTGACCACTAGTACCCTACCCTCAAAATTTCAGACCCCATGACTTATGTTTAAATTTTGAATTGCGAACTGTGTTCTGGAATGCAATTCACTTTTGAATTGCGAATTGCGAACTGCGAACTGCGTTCCAAAATCTGATTGCCGTTTAAATACAGGTACCTATATAATGAAGAAATATATGTACGTTTTCGTATTAAAATATCTTTGCAAGTTCAATTTACTAATGTAGGAATTACGTGTGATTTTCATGTACAAGTACAAACGTACCCGTCTAGTAATATCCATATAAAGTATTTCGAAATTACAGGTAGTACATGTACAGACCCTGAAACGTGCTACTACCCCAAAAAAGCGTGTGACTTTCGTGCGCTTTTCGTTTCGTGCAAACCGTGCAGCGTTTCGTGTAAACCGTGCAGCGTTTCGTGTAAGCTCCAAAGCGTTTCGTGCAAACCGTGTAGCGAGCGTGCGAGAAGCGTGTGAGAAACGTGCGACTTTCGTGCAAGAATCGTGTGCGAAACGTGTAGGATTCATTCGGAAGTCCTTTTATTTTTAATATGACTATTATTGGATCAACATGTCATTCTGTGTTGTTTGTAACTACCCGGTAATACTATTCGAATATATCATACCGGGGGTATTTTAAGAGTGAAAAAAAAATACAGAAACAACAAAATAAAAGTATTCGGTAATGTATTACATATTTGTTTGATTTTCTTAAAGCTTTATTTATTTATTTAAATTAAGAGAAAATGTGTTCAAAGTAATTAATTATATGTATATCCACATCAATTTTAAGGTAATTGATTCAATACATTTTTTAAAGGGAGCAATACTAATTTTTTTTTAAAAGAAAATTCATTAGGAATCCGGTCTTGTCCTTTTCATTCATTTATTTTAATATCTTCACCATTGTACATGGGATATAGAGATTACAAGAACATATCGGTGATTAATACAAAATAATAGATAGATACATGTATGGCAGCTGTGAAAAATAAAATGCAAAATTTAGTGCGTTGCTCTAAATGTGAAGTATAGGAATTCTAGGCCGGGGAGCACAGTTAAATGATTTTCTTTATAAACGAACATATTTTTCTTATATTACAAGATTTTGTGATACAATAATTTTGAAAACGATGATTCATTTATTGTCTTCTTATGCATAGAATCGGTTGATTAATAAAAGTCATATAAATGAATTATAATTTACATGCATCGGCAAATACAAGGTTAAATATTTCAAGGTGGGGGGGGGGGGGGCGGGATCAAATGAAAACACAAACTGAGTTTTTGTTGTAATCAAGTGTTTTATTGATAATTTTCTTTTGTAAGAAAATTATTGCTTTTTTCGATGGGGTGCGCCCGATGCACCCTTAAAAATATATTGGAATCTTCTTTACACTTTGAACACTCTTCTCACGACTGTTATCAAGGTCATTTTACAACAGCGATCACGGACTCCGCGTGCCGGGACTGAAAGCTTGTTCTGCTATTATCTCTTGTCAATCATAGCTAAGATGACATCCGACAATAACGATCGATTAATTAAAAGGTAATACCCGTTGATTTTATTTCTTAAATTTATCCGAGTGTCTGTAAACAGTGAATTAATTTGCCAGTGTATTCGTGAATAAAATAATAGAAAGAAATATATCCTATAAAATTATATATTAATTGTTTTTATTAATCAAGCAGTTCTAGAGCATATTTTTTTTTTTTTGTTTTTAGGACACAGGACATGTATACGTATATGAATGTATTGATAAGAGCCGCGACTATTGATTACATAATTATTGCTTTTTTTTTTTCTAGACGGGGTTTGAAATCAAGGATTTTAAAAGGTGGTGGGTATATTGATATTTGATAAACACAATACCGGAAAAGAGAACTAAAGAATTACAATACATATCCCCCTGTTTCTCAACGTGCCCGTTATATTTAGCCATGTACAGATTTGAAGATACAACAGTAAGATCTCGGAAATCTAACCCCCCCCCCTTTCCTGCACAATGTTCCTGTTTGATGCAGAGTACATATTACATTTGCAAATTATAAACAGAGCCTAATTTAATCAAATGAAATTATTTTCTTTACTAAATCAAAAAAATGTATAAATCAATCAATAATAAAAATAATGGAAAAGAAAATCAATCCGTTTATAGAAATCATACGCAATTTAATCTTTTTTTTTCCAAATATAACTGTGAAACTGAGTTTATTTGTCAGTAATAAAGTCAGTAATGAAACGACTTTTTAATATCAAACTATAATTGTAAAAAAAAAATTAAATGCTGTTAAAGATTATGAATTACAAATATAATTTTTTTTTTCAGTGCGTAATTTAGAGTCTAGTGAAAAAAGTTTGATGATGATAAGCACTTCACCGGGCGGGTCACATACTGAATGACAACTATTAATTAATTACAACTGAACATTGAGTATTTTATCTGTTAATATAGTACTAGTGTAGCGAGTTTTAATCTTAACTTAATCTGAATGATTGTTATTCTTAACTACTCGTTGATTTATCCCTAATAATTGAAATAAAGTCCGAGAGATTCCGAATAGAAAATCCAGATCGAGGCCAAAGCGTGCGAGAATCGTGTACAAAGCGTTTCGTGCAGGCTTTCGTGTAAACCGTGCAGCCTTTCGTGCAAAGCGTTTCGTGTAAACCGTGTAGCGTTTCGTGTAAACCGTGCAGCGTTTCGTGCAAACCGTGTAGCGAGCGTGTACCGTTCGTGCAGCGTGCGTGTGGGGTAGTAGCACGTTTCAGGGTCTGTAAGAGGTTCGTGAACATGTAAACCTGTATATATAATATTGACGCGAAGGAAAGTGATAAGCATTTTTGCGTTTTTTGTTTGTTTTTTTGTTTTTTTTTTTTTTTTGACTGACTTGCAAGTAGTTACAAAAATTCAAAATTTATTTTTAAAATCTATTAATACATTATATATTTTTATTATCCAGGCAGCATGTTACATGTATAGTTACATATTTATTTTCTTTTTAAGTTGATTTAGCACATGGTAAAACTTCCTATCAGACTTTAAGTGCTCCTTTGGATCCACAAGATCCAACTCGGTATGTTGCTAGGAATGCAGTTGATAGAGAGAAATCCTCCTGTACACGGAACTATGAAATAGGACGAACCTCCCCACACACAAGTGTACTTTGGAGAGTTGACTTGGGTGATATATACAGTATTTACAGTATCAGGATACTATTCAAAGACTATGGCTCAGCATACGGTATAAATACATACAAATACATATCAATATCAAGCTTTTACCTATATTCTTTTTTGCTTGACATTTGATTTTATGTTCTGATGTAAAGAAATTAATCATCAAAGAAAAAGGTACAGTTTCAATACAAATCTTGCCCTGTATTTTTCCAAAATATGGAAATGATGTAAAAAATTAAAATTCATCCTTCCTGAATTATAGAAATTCCATGCAGTAAGAATATAAAAATCGTTTTTCTCGTATGACTTCCTAATTGTGGCGTCAGGAACTTGTGCATTTTCTCGTATATTCTTAAAAAGTTGCAGAAAACGTCAATTTTCAGGGGAATTTTCTTTCAGATAAAATAGATCACATGCATCGCCCACACAGATTTTGAGAAATATGATTTATAAAAGAATTTTACACAACATATCTGAAAATTTAATGGGCGACGGCTCTGGACATTGTTTCCTTAACGGAAATAACCCCTGAAATGACTCATTCTGAGGGTTTTTTTCTGTTTTAAACTTGGAAATGTACCAAGTTCATGACGTCATATTTTAAGAATGGCCTTCCTCCATGCCATATTCTATCATGATTTATCACATTCATATACTCAACTCATATTTAAGGTAATTTTTTAAGGAAAACATTTTTTTTTGGCACAATAAAGCTCAAACTGTACCTCCTTCTTAATCAAAAGTAAAAACACAAAATCGATGAAAAAAGTCACTTTTTCCTGCAAAATGTAGCAAATGATAACAATGTGTTTCGCATTCTAAATGATTTACATTACTTCATAAATATCCTACGAAAAAGATACATTGCCGTATCCAGCAAATGTTCTACCAAGCCCCTGGCTTTACTCCTCGCAAAAATATTAACTGCTGTAAAGGAGAACTTAAGACGTACTCTGCTACTCTGCTACAGCATATTCTAGAAATGGTGTAAATCAGATGTGAATTTTCAAAAACTCCAGAAGATTTAAAACACTATATTTTTTTTATCAAAACGTTCGACTTTTCTATACTTTACACAACCATTCCTTGTGATAAATTAAAAAGGAGGCTTTCTGATATCATAGACAACTGGTTTTTTTTTTTTTTTTTTTTTTTTTTTTTTTTTTTTTGTTTTTAGCTCACCTGAGCTGAAAGCTCAAGTGAGCTTGTCCGTCGTTCGTCTGGCTAGCTGTCCGTCGGTCTGTAAACTTTTCACATTTTCGACTTCTTCTCCAGAACCACTTGGCCAATTTCAACTAAACTTGCTACAAAGCATCCTTGGGTAAAGGGGAATCAAGTTTGTTCAAATGTAGGGCCACGCCCTCTTTCAAGGGGAGATAGTAAAGAATTAGTGAAAATTTAGTGGTATCTTTTAAAAATCTTCCTCTCAAGAACCACTGGGCTGAAAAAGTTAAAACTTATGTGAAACCTTCATTACATAGTGTACATTCAAGTTTGTTCAAATCATGACCCCCGGGGGTAGACCAGGGCCACAATGGGGGATCAAAGTTTTACATAGGAATATATTGGAAAAAATCTTTATAAATTCTTCAAGAACAACAAATCCACGATTATTCATATTGATATGGAATCATTCTCAGGTAGTGTAGATTCAAATTTGTTCAAATCATACCCCCGGGGGTAGGGGGGGCACAATGAGGGATAGAAGTTTTACATAGGAAATTATAGGAAAAGTCTTTTAAAATATTTTTCTCAAGAACAACAAAGCCACAATTAGTCAAATTAATGTGGAATCATACTCACGTAGTGTAGATTCAAATTTGTTCAGATCATGACCGCCGGGGTAAGGTGGGGCCACAATGGGGGATCAAAGTTTTACATAGAAATATATAGCAAAAATTTTGAAAAATCTTCTCAAGAAAAACAAAGCCACAATTAGTCATATTGATATGGAATCATCCTCAGGTGGTGAAGATTCAAGTTTTTACAAATCATGACCCCCGGGGTAGGGTTGGGCCACAATGGGGGATCAAAGTTTTACATAGAAATTAAAAAAAAAACCCAAGAGGCCAATGGGCCACATAGCTCACCTAAGCAATGTGGCTAGAAAAAAGCAAAAATCAGTTCAGTATTGAAAAGCTTAAATACATAAGTGGTCCCGACCTACCCCTAAAACGGGGGGGGGGGGGTGGGCTGTCATGGTTTGAACAAAATTGAATCTACACCAACTAAGGATGCTTCCATATAAATATGAGAAACCATAGCTTTGCTGTTCTTGAGGAGATTTTTAAAGATTTTTCCTATATACGCCTATGTATAACTTATCATCCATTGTGGCCCCACCCTACCCCCGGGGGTCATTATTTCAACAAACTTGAATCTACACCACCTGAGGTTGCTTCCATATAAATATGACCAATCATAGCTTTGCTGTTCTTGAGAACAAGATTTTAAAATATTTCTTTTTCTATATATTCCTATGTAAAACTTTGATCGTCAGTTGTGGCCCCACCTTACCCCTGGGGGTGGTCATGATTTGAACAAACTTGAATCTATAGTGCCTGAAAATGCTTCCATATAAATATGAGCAATCAAGGCTTTGCTGTTCTTGAGAAGATTTTTTAAAAAAATTTCCTATATACACCTATATAAAACTTTGATCCCCCATTGTAGCCCCATCCTACACCCCAGGAGTCATGATTTATACAAAATTGAATCTAAGAATATTACCCCCGGGGGTAGGGTGGGGCCACAATTGGGGATCACAGTTTTACGTAGGAATAGATAGAAAACATCTTTTAAAAAAATCTTATCAAGAACAGGAAAGCCATGAATGGTCATATTGATATGGAAGCATCCCCAAGTATTGTAGATTCAAGTTTTGTCAAGGCATCCTCCAGTAGTAGGGTGGGGCCATAATGGAGGATCAAAGTTTTACAAAAGAACATATTTTGGAAATATCTTTAAAAATCTCATTCTCAAGAAAAACAAAGCCATGATTAGTCATATTGATATGGAGGCATCCTTAGGTATTGTAGATTCAATACCCGGGTAGGGTGGCAGACATCTTTAAAATTCCGTTTTCAAGAACAGCAAAGCCATGATTAGTTATATGAATATAGAAGCATCCTCAGAAAGTTTAGATTCAGTTTCATTTAAAATATGGCATTTGGGGGTAGGGTATGCCTAGAACAGCCGATCAAAGCTTTTCATATAAATATATAGGAGAAGAAATCTGCTGGCGAAGGACAGCAGGGCCATATTGACTCAGGTGAGCGTTGTGGCCTAGCCTCTTCTTTGATCAGAAATAGAAGTCTGAATTTTTTTTAAAAATTTTATTTATATTTGGTCTTCAACAAAATTACTTAATTAAAAATTACTCTGATTCTACACACAAGGACATGTTCTCTAAAGTTGATATTTAAAGGATGCTTGGGTTCTTAATTAACAACAATAATGTAGTCTTTGGAGATCAGGTCTTCCAACAAAGTGTTGGAAATCCGATGGACATCAATTGTGCTTCTTTATTAGCCGACTGTTTTTATGAAGCAGAATTTTTATAAATATTCAGAAACTTCCAAATGAGTTGAAAACAAGAGGCCCATGGGCCACATCGCTCACCTGAGCACATTGGCTAGGCAAAAGCACAAATCAGTTCAGTATTGAAAAGATTACCCGGGGGGAGGGGGGTTACTTGAGAAGATTTTTAAAAAAATTTCCCATATATTCCTTTATAAAAATTTGATCCCCCATTGTGGTTCCTCCCTATCCCAGGGGTCATCATTTGAACTTGAATCTACACTACCTGAGGATGCTTCCATATCAATATGACTAAACATAACTTTCCTGTTCTTGAGAAGAAATATTTTGTCTATATGTTCTCATGTAAAACTTTCGATCCCCCAATGGGCCCCACCCAACCCCTGGGGGTCATCATTTGAACAAAATTTTATCTACACTACCCAAGGATGCTTCCATAATGACTAATCATGGTTTGCAGTTCTTCAGAAGAAGATACTTTCCTATATATTTCTATTTAAGACTTTGTGGCCCCATCCTACCCGCGGGAGTCATGATTTGAACAAAATAGAATCTACACTACCTGAGGATGCTTCCACATAAATATTATCAATGAGGGCTTTGCTGTTCCTGAGAAGAAGATTTTTAAAATTTTTCCTATACATTCTATGTAAAACTTTGATCCCTCATTGTGGCCCCGTCCTACCCCCAGGGGTCATGGTTTGAACAAAATAGAATCTACACTACCTGAGGATGCTTCCATATAAATATGACTCATCATGACTTTGCTGTTCTTGAGAATGAGATTTTTGAAGATTTTTGCTTATATATTTCTATGTAAAACTTTGATCCTCCATTGTGGCCTCGCCCTACCCCCGGGGGTCATGATTTGAACAAACTTGAATGTACACTACCTGAAAATGCTTCCACATGAGTTTCATCTTTCCTGGCCCTATGGTTCTTGAGAAGAAGATTTTTAAATGATGCATTTATTTTTTCACTAATTCTTAATTATCTCCCCTTGAAAGAGGGCGTTGCCCTTCATTTGAACAAATTTGAATCCCCTTTACCCAGGAATACTTTGTGGCAAGTTTGGTTGAAATTGGCCCAGTGGTTCTGGAGAAGAAGATGAAAATGTGAAAAGTTTACAACAACGACGACGCCAACGACAACGACGACGACGACAGACAAGGGACAAATTTTGATCAGAAAAGATCACTTGAGCCTTTGGCTCAGGTGAGCTAAAAACGCTGTGGCCTTCAACTCGACATTCAGATATATTGACGATATTTTTTTCAATTAAAAATTGTTATTTTCATTCATATGATGTCGACTCGATATATCCCCGTGAACTCAAAATAAAAGACACAATAGAATCTGTCACATCTGTTTCATATTTAGATATTTTACTGACTATAGACGATAAGGGCCAACTACAGATAACAACTTAATTTTATGACAAACGAGATGATTTCAGTTTTTCCATCGTCAACCTAATTTATTTATGCAGTATTCACTTCGCAACATTGATAAGGCATACTATGA